GCAACAACTTGGTCAACTTGTCGGTAAAAAACTTCATTCTATTAAAACCCGGGATGGTTACTGGCCGTCTTTTTCATCGTGCCGAAGTTGGGGGACCCCTCTTCCCCCTTCGCATTGGGCCCCATCGTCTTCTCATGGGTATTTCATGGAGAGGGACCCGTTCCCTCTGTGAGCAGTGTAGTTCCCTATGATTAGCCCATTCTGTTAACTGCCCTCTCTATCAACGAGCACCAGAATTTACCTCCAACGTCGTCTTCGTTCCTTACTCCTCTTTACCTTCCCTTCTTGCTGAGGACCCTCTTTAAAACCTGCTCTCTCATTGACTTTTGACAAACCGATTTTCTCCACAAACTCTGATGATACTTTTTGCATCCCCCCGCCCTTTTTTTGGTTCTCTCTTGCTGCCCTTTTCCCTTTTACCTACTGCCCCGCGTTATCCGAAAACCCGTTGCTCATCATCTCCCTTTTTGCCACCTGTGCCCCCCCCCTTCCTTCCTGCCCCGCAGGCGTATAGTCCTTTTGGCTTAGCGCTTTTTTTGATTATAAAAAATAATTTATTTTCATTCCTTCAAATTTGGTGGATGGCCCGGTTGCCTAGACATGAAAGAATGGGGTTCACACTCGGTGCACATATGGGGAAAAAACAGGGCCACTTAATTTTGTGGGACAACCGTTCAAATGAGTCGTAGAGCAAACCTCCCATTGTAAAGGGGGAAAATAAAAAATAGGTTAGGTCCTAATTTTTTTTTTTTGCTTTTTACACACAGAAAAATTTCCCTCTTTAATTAAAAAAAAAAAAAATTTAAAATATTTGGAGTGCTGGGAGAGGAATGTAGATCAAGTATGGCAGTTAAGGGGTTGTGAGCATTTTTAGGTCTAAAAGATTGCATATAAAGTACTGAAATTCTTCCTTTAAAAAATTTTTTTCTTTAGCTTTTGTTGTAATATATTTATTTTAGGAGGTCGAAAAAATAAAGAATGGGTATCATAATTGAAAAAAACCCCTGTATCACAAAATGCTGAAAGTGGGGCCTGCTTGTACAGGTACATCCAACTTACGCGAGTTGGCGAAGAAAATGGGTGTTTAATCGAAAGGAGTAAGCGCATTACTACCCCAATATCAACATCCATTTTTTAATGACTTTTTTTGTTTTTTTTTGGTTTTCTTCATTTTACTTTACTTTTTATGCTGTTAGTATGTATTTTACCTGTAAGGTTTAGGAAAAAAAAACTGTGTACAACACAAAAATTGTTTATTTTTCCCAAAAAAAATTTGGGACGAAAACGGTCAAAAGAATGGGCATATGTTGGCAGGTGTAAGTCGGGGGTAGGTGTATTTTCTCTAAAAGAAAACCCCAAAGAAAAGAAAAAAACTGTTTGGAGATCAAAGAATAACTTGGGCCGTATGTTATGATGACAGGTGAAAATTTTTATAAGATTTTTCAAGTCAAAAAAAAAATTGTAATAAGTGGTTATCAGTGAAGGCATTGCAAACATAGTTATCCATGTGGAATAAGGGGTTGATAGTAGAACAGCCTGTACGAAAACAGACTGATGAGGGGAAAGACAATAATAGGTTCACAAGTATCATCAAGCATTAATAACAACAATGGGTCTATAACGAGAGGGGTCATGGTCCAAAGTACCTGGCATACGAATGGGTAAGACAAAGGCAGTGACAGACTGGAGAGGGAGAAACCTTTGGGACCAAACGAGATTGAAAAGGTGTAAGACGAGAGCTGCAGTGTGCAAATGTCTATGCATACTCGTGCAAGTGTGTAGGTATATTTTTCTTCCATGAAGTAGAACTCCTTATGGTAAGTTTACAGTTTGGAGGCTTTTGGGCACAAGGCTCACTGGCTGGTACTTGCTAGGCACAGTGTTTCTTCCTTCAGCTGGCTCATTGCTCTGCCTATGGTGGTCTTCGTGGTGTTGGTGTTGTCACAGTATGTGATGGATTTACCTATTTTGTACATAGATTGGTTCAGGTGTTATCCAGGTCTTCAATTTTTCCTGGTAGATCACTCAGTACCCTTGGCCTTGGGAAGTCATCCTTGTGAATGTAATGTTGTACTCTTTGTTGCAAGGTCATCCTGCGAGTTCTGTGTGGGGGTTAATGGATCACATAGTTGGTGGAGATAATCACCTGGGTTGGGTTTTCTCTGTCAGGTTAGTAGGTGGTTTTCATACTAGTAGAAGTCATTCATACAAGATTTCAACTATTGTATAATAATGTTATTGTAACAGTGTTACTTTGAAATTAAAATTGTACTGTAATAAATATCCAATTGCAAAAATTCTTGATTATTAATTTTAATTACACTGATGCCATAATAACACAGATAAATACAGTTTATGTCGTTAAGACAGAAAGAGCAGCAAGACGACCCGGAGATCCCATTACTCCTCCACCTGGGTGTGCTCCAGAGCCACATAACAGGAGGCCATGGATGGGTGTGAATGGACCTGGCTTCATAGATGAGGGTCGCAGTATTAACAACTGATCCAGAGACATCGCACCATGGAAAATATTCTGAAAAAATAAAGTAAATTACTGAAATTTATTTGACAATTTTTTTAAACACCTACTTAAAATCATGGGCTGAGGAGGGGTTTTCAGGTGGTGTAGGCATTAAGAAAAACAGAAAAGGAGGGGGGAATAAAGGAGGTTTTGAGTG